TATTCCACTTTTTAAAGGTGTTCAGTTTTAGGATAAAAATTCTGGTGCACTCAAAATAATTTGCTTTACTATTTTACCTTTTGCTGTTAAGTTAAAAGCTTTCTAGAGTCAGAGACTGTTTCTTTTGATTTTGCCTTTATAGTGCACAATATCTGCTTATGGTTATATCTTAGGAATATAGTAAGTGGAATTGGTGCTAAGAATTATGTACAAAAGTTCACATCTGTTTTTGCAACTTATTTCTCAAAGTACTGTTAAAATTGAAGTTTGGATTGTCAGGCTGCTCACAAAAATCTACTTACATAAGAACATGTATTTAATATAGAATTAACAATACATTCTAAATACCATGCATGCCAGTGTTTCTCTGGATAAATGCATTCAGAGTTCTAACCCAGATGCTGATGGCTCACAGCCCCTCTTGGTGGAGTGTGCTTCTTGTCAAAGCTAAAATGAGAACAGGAGAGGTTAGAGTCCAGTTGGGTAGCAACTTCTTAACTCCCTATAGCAGCAATAGACAAGCCTCTATGTCAATGATTCCCCTGAGGTCCTGATTTGAAGAACAAAAGCACCAAGGACAATCTGACCCCATCTTGCTTTCCCACAGTGTCAAACTCTGCAGTGTGGATAGCTTCTAAATAAGTCACTTTAAAATTAGGCTGTGTGGTTAATGAAACAGGAAAAACAAACAGATCGTTGGAACAGAACAAAGAGTTCAGAAATGCAACCACATATTTAAAAAAATCCTGTAACAAGTTAAAAGATACTTAGCATAATGTAATTCAGTTCTTTGGGTTAAGGAAGGCCGCCTTAAAAAGACATCAAAAGAAAAGCAGGAACAGACAAGAATGATCATTTTCATTACATTATATTTTTAAAGTTCTGTACAAGACACTATGAACAGTTCTAAAATAGGCAACAGCCTGTGAAAAAATATTTACAACCCAACAAAGAATTAATGTTAAAAATATAAAATAAACTCCTATGAATAAAAAGAAAATGATAAGTAATCCAATAGATCAATGGACAAAGAATACAAACAGGCCAGTCACAAAAGAAGATATAAAAAAGACTACTATCTCTATGAAATGATGCTCAATTTCATTAATCAGGAAAATTCAAATAACAACAAGAAAATCCAGCAACAACTGGAAAAAGAAAACAACTACTTACACAGCTGGTGGAGCTATAAATTGATATAGCTATTTTGGGAGAATAATTAGGCAGGGTGTATTAAAAATAAAAATGTACACTACTACTTAACAATTCTTCTAGAGAAACACTTGTATAAAGTACTCAAGTAGGCTTGAACAAAAAACACTCTTTAGATTACTGTTTATGGTGGTGAGAACCTAGAGACAACCAAAATATCCATTCCTGGGAGAATGGCTAAATAAGTGAGGTATTTTCATAATATGGAACACTATGACGCCATTAAAAGGAATGAGCCAGATCTATATGTATCAAGAGTTCTAAAACATATTCTAGAATTCAAAAAGCAAAGTTGCAGAACAACATATAAAGTGATATGTTTTATGTAATACTCCACAGTTCCTGTGAATATATATAAAAGACTGGGAAAGAGACACATCAAACAGTGATTACGGGGGGCGGGGGGCAAAGGTGGTGGGGTAGAAGTAATTAAGGACTTCTTAGCATTACTTCTAATATTTAAACTTTTAAAAAGCAAATGTGTTCATGTATTACTTATATAAGTAAAAACTAATAATACAAAAGAGTTGTTTCCAGTCACTAAACTCAGATCAGGATAGCCTCTGGGTGATATTCACTTCCCCGACATAAAATAAGATTATGTTTTATTTTGCTTGAGTAGTTATAGAATGGCTTCAGAAGTTGAATTTTTTTCTTCCTTCCCTCTATCTCTCCATTCCTTAGTTTCAGTTTTCAATTGAATATATCTGTTAATGAAGTTAGATTTCTACTAATTGATTCTTTAATCTTTAACCATTATTGTGATAATTTGGGGACTCCTTCAGTTATTCCTGGAAAATAATTTCATTAAACTAGGTAGGGCTATGCCTTGCTCTTTCCTCTTGGCAGTAGGAAACCATAATGCCTCTCAGGCACTAACTTACCCTTTCCCTCATTGCTTTTGGCTTCACTCTTTTTTGCTTCCTGGAATTTAGCAGGTATAGGGTGTGTGTGTCTGTCTGTTTTACATATACAATGTTGGCTGCATGGTGCTTAGAGCTCAATGAAAAATGATGGAGAGAAGGAGAGAGAGGAGATTGCTTGTTCAAAACACTGAGTAGCCAAAGCAATGAATGAAAAAGAAAGCCTGGGCTGTGTCTCTCCATTTCAGAAGTATTCTTATTTCTCAACGGCAAGAGCTTTGCCCTTGCAAATTTATTCTGATTGGCTCATGCTAGCAATGACATACACACACACACACACACACACACACACACACACACACATATATATGTATAATTAATTTATATTTATATGTAATATATATTATTAATATATTGTCAAAAGACAAAATTACAACAGATTTAAAGGTCTTAATTGGCTTTTTTTAAATTCTAAAATTGGGCGACATTTCATTCCATAAAATAGAATATGTGTTTGGGTGATGGCTACCCAAAACTGCATTTGTACACCTTAAAATTATACAAATAAAATTTTAAAAAGGAAAAAAAAAATTGAATAAATGTGCCAATGAGCCGGGCAGAGGAGGTTGTTTTGAAGACAGAGAAGGGCTGAATAAAGCAGAAGCTAAGAACAAAAATCAGATTGGTCATTTCAAAGTTACTTTTCATGAAAGGTGGAAACAGGAAAACAGAACAATAGAGATATAAACTGATTGGTCAACATCAGGTTTATTTTAGATTACTTTTTGTTGTAAAGATTAAAGGCAGAGGGAATTTCATTATCATGCTGATTGAAACTGGTTTGTTTGGGAAATTTGGCTATTATCTTTCCCCTGATTTCTCAGAAGGTCAGATAACAACTTAGTTTCAGTTTGGTAACTTGAAACTTAAGGAGGTGTGATCCCATTTTGATTTTTAGTCTGGTTTGTGGGAGCCTAGGGTAGGAGCTCAGGCCAAAACAATAGCCTCTTAAATTTTTATTTAACAATACTATATATAATGCACATATTTATAAACATGTGTATTTATATATTAAAAATACATAGTATGAAAAATACAGGCTAGCACTGGCAGTTGGTTTCAGGCGGATTTCAGACATGCTGTGACAGGGACCCGGGAGGGCTGTGACACTGGGTAGGCAGTGACCCTGTCGAATCCCCTGCTCTGCTGAGTCTGCTCTCTGAGCTTAAAACCCGATGGATCCAAATGCTGGTGTAATAGCAGGAGGAATCTTTTCACATAGGTCACTTTGCATGAGGAGGAACAGGGGACTTTTCCAATATTTACCACATATTATCTGCAAGGTGTTAACAATTACTACTCGAGAAAGATCTGTGTCTACTTTCATTATCTCCACCAGCTAGGTGCCTCCCAGGGTAGGGAAAAATAGGAAACTAGGCCTTTGTTGGGGGATGTTAGCTCAGCTGAGGGGTAGACCAGCTAGAGGTCTCTGAGTGGAAATAGCTTTAGGTTATGAATGACCAAGTCTGCCACCTTTCTAAGTAAGACCCAGTTTGGGGGGTGAGGGCAGGGTTTGGATGTGGAAGAAGTAGTTGGCAACTTGCCTAAAATCTATAAGTTCACAATCTGCTGACATGAACTGTAGCCACTCAAGCTCTCTGCCTTCACGCCATGGGCAGAGAGTGACCAGAGTGTGCTGTCTCATCGCTGGTTCTCATTTTTAAAGCAGAAGTTTAAAACAGAGCAATCCTCTTTCCTCTGGGGTTTTGCTTTAAACCGCTGAAGATGTGGGGAGCGAAAGCAGCCTGTGACCACCAAGCTGGGGAGGTGTCCAAGCTCAGGCTGAGGCTGCAGAGCAGGGGCTTTTTGGTGTGGTCATTAAAGCAGAAGCAGGACTTTAATGCAGCTCAAGACAGATGCGGGGTCCCTCCCACAAGAAAACTCTTAGCAGGCTTACCCCTACCCCGTTGCCTATGGCAAGCTGGCTTCCTTGAAAATAATGTGATTGGCATCTTTGTATATGCATTTTGAATGTTATCAGACTTTCTCAGTGAGATGCCCCAAACCAAGCACATATTATTTGTTTTAAAAATCCATTAAAAACCAGGCATTTAAATTGGTTTTGAGATTCTTGTTAAAGAAATCGGGCTGGCTAATGAAAATTAGTTTTAATTTTAAAAGAGCTAAGCAGATATAAGAAGACTCTAAGCTACTCTGCGGCAGGTCAGCTTAGTGTCTGATCCAGTTTCCCTCAAGAACTTTGTTCAAGAGTATGGAACAGTATTTTTGGAAGCCTTCTACAATATTGTCTTTGTAACATGAAGAAAACAGCAATTGTGATCATTGGGATTAATAATGTGGCATCTAGAGCAGGTAGCCTGAAATTATTATCTCTGTCGTCTTTTTCTTTTCTTTTCTTTTTTTTTTTTTCCGAGACGAGGTCTCACTATGTTGCCCAGGCTGGATTTGAACTCCCAGGCTCAAGCAATCCTTCCACCGTAGCCTCCCAAGTGACTACAGGTGTACACCTCTGCTCCCAGCTCTCTGTCACCTCTCACTCAGAGAGAGCACATCTGGAGCCATAGTTTGCCATCTAAGTTTCTGGAACTTGACAAGACAGGAGAGAGAGCAGTATTTATTTCTCAATGTCCAGAGGGAAATTACAAAATTTCAGTCGTATGGTAAATGCTTAAGTACTTAATGCAATAAAGTCCTTCCCTATTAAAAGCTACTCACACCCATGGTGGGGATAAATTTCTGAGGATTAATGGTGGAAACAAAGGTTTCCCTTTCAGCATAGGAACACAAAAATATACTCCACCCCTCTTTGTGGCTTCATGAGAGGGAGCACAATGGTTCTGGAAAAGCCCTTCCTTCCATGCCTGCATGCAAAATGGCACCTGTTGCTTGAGAGGGCAGACTCACCTCACTGTCCTGGTGATTAATCTCACTGAGGCTCGACTGTTGCAACAGGACTGTCAGGAGCCTGTAAGGAAAAACAGGAGAAACGGCTCTAAAGAACAGTCATGGTGCTCTTGGAACCAGTATAAGAACACATTAGAAATACAGTCAGTTGAATGCTTCCAAATAAAGGTGAGGGCTCTTCCCTATTCTCTAGGGCAAAGATCTGTGGAAAAGAAGCAAGCGTGAAGGGTAAGAAGGCATCTGTGAGGAGCACCTTTGCTGCCCCTGGAGGGGCCAAGGGACTTAGAGGCTTATTGTATTCACCAGGGCTATGTCACCTAGCCATGCCCTTTAAGAACCAAAATCATCTAGTGCTTACTCTATTGATTTTGCAAAAACCTCTAGAGTGCTTTCAAACTGCTTCACTCCTAGGTGCATATGCCTTTTAAATGCATAGATCACAGCAGGAGGTAGTCAGCATGTACAACTTTGCTCACTCTTGGTGAAATATGCAAATATATGAGCATGAGATGACAGTAATCCGTGTGAAGTAACTCTCAACGATTCTGAAATTCAAACTCTTAGCTGCGCTGGGTTGACTGAAGTCAATGCTTCATCTGCGAGAGAGAAGCAGCTGAGCACAGTGGCTGGCAACTCAGGGTCTAGGATTCTGACTGCCTAGGCTCACATGCCAGCCCTGCCACTGATTAGCTCTGTAACCTCAGGCTAATTACTTACCCCCTCTGTGCCTAAGCCTCCTCATCTTGAGACAGAGGTAGTAAAAACTACCAGTCTTATAGCTCAGAGTGAGGATTAGATGAGTTAATATACATAAAGCATTTAGAGCATGTCTGGAACACACTATGTAAGTTCTAGAACACTTAACCCTAGAAGTTTGAACCCTGGCTCCATCTTAGAATTGCCTGGGGAGATTTTTTTTAAAACCACAAATACCTGGCCTCCATACTCAGAGTTTCTAACTCAGTGAGTCTGGGGAGAAGCCCAGCTTCTATAGATTAAAAAAGATGTTCAAGGAACTCTGGTAAACAGCAAGGTTTGGAAACTATTGAGAAAGGTGCAAAATGAATTAATCAATGATTACTCAGCAAGATGCTAAAGAATAGTATATGGGCAGACAATGAAAGAAATTCAGAAATTATTTTTAGAAGAATATTTTGAAAAATGAAATTATTTAATCTCTTCCCCAAATTTTCATTGTCTTTCAGCTTAGATGACATCTAAAACCCTAGGTATTAAGTTGTTCCTTACAATAGAAGAAAAGAAAGGTACACTAATCAGATTGCCTTAGGAAATGTAATACAGGGAGAGCTTCAATAGGGATGGACTTCTGGTTATTTGCTGTAGAGGTGAAATAACCAGGAAGCCTGTGCTTTAAATTTAGTTTGTCACTGTCTTTCGGGGAGCCAGGTTCATGCTGAGATTTGATTCTGGCCTCACTGCTGCATGAGCCCTCTGAGTTTCTGTATGCTCGTGTATATCCTAGGGTAACAACAGCAGCGGAGATGTTGAGGTTCGAATGGCCCAATAGGCACAAAGCTCCTGGTACACAGACCTTAAAGGAACAATGGCTATTACTGCAGGTGGCACATCTCTTTTATGCTTTCTAAATTCTAGATGCATTCTCTATCTCATGGGAAGACACTATAAAAATAATTGCATTTTGGGTGACACTATTTTTGTCTTTGTTATTATTTCACCACTGTATATATTTTTCTTTATGGACGCTTTATGGATGGGGGCAAGGCTTAACTGGTGACTGTCCTTGCTCTATTTTTTTTTTCCTTTCTCTTCCTTCTCTCTCTCTCATTATCAGCCATTGTTTCCTCTCTAGGGCCCACCTGGACTAAAGTGCTGGGAGAGAGTGTGAGGAAAGGCAGGTCAGCTGTGGTCCAATGTGGTCATCCTCAGTTAACCCTGAGCAGACAGGATCTTCTGGGGCAGAAGTGATCACTTTGAGGGAAGAGGGGCTCTGAGCAGATTGGGGGTGGGGTGAGCAAGACCTCTTGTCACATCCTGGGTGGGCCTCTCAAAGCTGTGGGATGAACCTGGTACTGACATATTTCTCTATTTTCCTCACAAATCCACCTTTTCTCTGAAATGTCCTGCTCTGAGGCTGACCTCTGAGGACGGCATCAACCAGGTACCCTTGCCCTCTGACCTCCTACTGGGTCTGGCTAGGGAGAACTGGCAGGAGGAGGGAAGAAGCCAGCTCCTTTTCTGGTAGTGATTGCATTTCTCCACCGAAGGCCCAGGCTCCTACAGCTGGAGCCACCACCACAGCTCTCAGAAGGTTCCAGTACCAACTCGCTTCCTTGCCTCTTTTGGCCTAGGGGGTGGTAATATTTTCCTGCTCTTTTGGCGAGTATGCTCTTGTTAACCAATTTCTTGTCAGTTAATTTTAAATAGTCTTTCTCTAGACTTTCTTCAGGTGCCTCCTTTAACATTCCATGTCTTCCCTGTCACGGCCCTGCCAGATACACGCTGATCTGTGCCGCCTGACTCCATCAATTTCTAAGTCTCTGAGACTCACTGATCTTCAAAGCTGGACACAAATGGTCAGATAAAGGCCCTCACCCTCACCTTCACTCTTTTTACCTCATTTTATGAGAGCAAAGAACCTGAAGCCCTATGAGGCTTACCAAGGTCATCACACAGGCCTTTAACCTGGCTTGAACTAGAAATCAGGTATCCTGTTTCCAGTCTGCTGCTTCCTTGTTGTTCTGTGGTACCGGGTTAATCTGCAAGATACAGTCCCGTATCTGTCTCAATCACTACACTATTTGCAGCTCTCTTTCTGCTTTCCCTGAGCCCCTGTTTTGTGCAATGGTGGCCCAGGAGTCTTTCTTTCACAACCCCCATTAATACCAGTCCAGACTCCCTCTTACCCTCAGATCTCCGAGGCAGCAGCATGAAGCCCACCTTGTCCCCGGTGCCAGGACAGCAGGCCTGGACCCCAGCAGGAGCAGCCAGCCCTGACGCCAGGGCCCAGCTGCTTCCCAACCAGCTAGTGAGCTTGAGCAAGTTAGGAGACTCCGGTGGCCTACATTTTCTTATCTGTAAAATAGAGAGCATAATACCTACTTCCCAAAGACTTGTTGGGACTTTAAGTGAGTTGATGGGTACAAAGCACTTAGGATAGCCTTTACATGTCATAATGTCTTATGCAATGATTTTTTTAAAGCCCCTACCCTTTATTTTCTGCATCTCGCTTGATTACCATTAAGTGATTGGTGGGTCAGAGAGAGAGAGAGAGAGAGATCAGCCAGAAGCATCCTGGAGGCAACTTATTTCTGTGAGCTTTTCTGTTTTGCTGGCCCCTCAGGCTGCTATCAGCCCTGGAGCTGGCTGTCCCAGGGGTTGGTGGGAGAAATGGTCCCCCAGCCAGCTGTCTGCCCTTCCTGTCCCTGAAGCTTCCTGGATGCAAGAGCACGCCGTAGGGAGACATCCACTGAGGGTAGAACACACCACCTGGTAACTAGAGACCAGGACCCCAGGGAGATGATTCCTTCCTCCCTCGGGCTGTAGTCAAGAGTGATAAAAAGAGGCAGAGCTGCTGGTGCTCTGGCAGGGAGAGAAAAAAAAAAAATCTGCCAGTAGCCATGGAGACCATGAAAAAGACCTTCAGAGAGTCCCGTGGCAGCTTTCAGAGGGAATTGCTGCTTGCCTTCCAACACTAGCACGCTCAGCTTGTACAAACACAACTCTGTTCTCTTTGGAGCTTTGTCTCTATGATCATGCCCCCTCTGTCACACGGGTGCCCTCTGAGTGTCCCAGCCAAAGGAGCAAGAAAGCTCCGTGGGGAGCTGAAAGGAAGAAAACTCAGACTTGCTGAGAAGCAGAGGGTTCAAAGCAGGAAGGAGAATCAGAGATGAAACCTGTGCTGCTTTGCTTTTGTCAGCCCAACGTACCTCCGTGTTCATAACTACAAATCACTTATGCCTGCGTCAGCTTCCATCCCCGCTGAGTGGGGGTTTAGCTAAGGATGTAGACTGGAATTGATTGGTTTGTTGGGGAGCTGTTTCTACCAGAGAACCAAAAATCCCTCTGGAGGCAAAGAGCTAATTGTTTATAAGCAGCTTGGGTTTGAGGCTTCCCTCTGCATAACCTCCAGCGAGCACCAAGTGGAAGGAGCTTGCTGTTTGGACATCAAAGGGTCAGCAGATTTTAGAAACTAGTATGATCACCTGAGCACAAGACCACCCTGTGGCCTGTACATACTACTTATGATTAGGGGAAAGTACAGACATATACACAGTAACAAAGATAGCAAAGGGAGTTGAATGGTTGAGTTTAATGTTCATTGGGTTCTGAAATCTAGCAGCAGTCTACATTCCAGGGTCACCACAAACAGGAGTGAGTGCTGTTCACACCCCGACAACCTCTGCAGTAAATGTGTGTGCATGCTGGTGGGATGCTGGACTGCATGTACAGGAGCCTGTACTACATATAGTAAAACAAGAAAACTAGTAAAGAAATGAGACAAAGAGAAAACAAGGGCAAGATAAAGAAGATGTGACCTAGATCCTACAGGCGTGCCAGAGATGAGAAACAAATTGAGTTTTGAATTTTCTTTTTTTTTTTTTTTGAGACAGAGTCTCACTCTCTTTCCTGGGCTAGAGTGCCATGGCATCAGCCTAGCTCACAGCAACCTCAAACTCCTGGGATCAAGCGATCCTCCTGCCTCAGCCTCCCGAGTAGCTGGGACTACAGGCGTGTGCCATGACCCTGCTAATTTCTTTCTATTTTTAGTAGATACAGGGTCTCGCTCTTGCTCAGGTTGGTCTCGAACTCCTGAGCTCAAACAATCCACCTGCCTCAGCCTCCCAGAGAGCTAGGATTACAGGCGTGAGCCACCACGCCCGGCCAAGTTTTGAATTTTCTAAACATCCAAAGAGAGAAATATGATCTTAAGTCACAATGTCCATATAAAATAAAAAATAATTTCTCAGGAGAAGCATAGCAATTTCTTCTTTAGTAGGAATTTTTCTTAAAGTTATTCATGTAGGATGTTTTGGGTGCTATAATGGACAAAATATACCCTGACAGTGAGCCAATGAATTTTGTAAGGCTGTTTCTTATAAGGTCTCTCAATAAAGGCCAAGGGTTTAATGACAAAATATGACCATTAAAATAAATTCTACAAGGTCCACAAGAGTGGGTCTCAGGAGCACAGCACACCTATGGGCAGGTTATTTTCACACATGCTGTGGGCAATTATTTTCCATGTGCTCCAGTTTCCTCATCCGTAAAATGGGGATAGAAATATTATTACCTACTGCATAGAGGTGTGGTAAGGATTAGATGAGGTAGTACACAAAAAGCACTTAGAACTTTGCTCAGAGCATGAGCATGGTAAACAGCCAATGTTGTTATCATTGTCGTCATCATTGTAAATTATTAATAAATGCAAACCCATATGTTTTAGTGGTCAGCCAGGCTGGCCTGAAGCTGTGTCCACTTAGGAAAAGCGAATGCTCAAACAGGCTTGCATCATGGTTGCAGGATTAGGAAGTGCCTACAAGCCAGACCAGATTTTATTTTTTCTCAGAAAACAATTCTGGGTTCATGCTGACACACAAACAAATGGGTGACTGGAGCTCACTTTCTCTGCAACAGAGCATGGCTTGGTTAGTTTCTACCTTAAACATTTAATTCAGATGTATCAAACTTGGCCATGGTCATAAAATTTCTCAATAAAACAACTATAAAATATCTAATTTTAACAGTGTAATTCCATAGGGAACTCTTAAGGCAAGCTAGTTTCCCAAGGTTCTGTAGGTAACCAAACTATAGTCATGTGTCGCTTAACAATGGGGATATTTTCTGAGAAATTAGTTGTTAGGCAATTTTGTCATTGTGCAAACATCATAGAGCATACTTACACAAATAGATGGTATAGCCTACTACAGCAAGTTACTGTACTGAATACTGTAGGCAACTATAACACAATGATATGTATTTGTGTATCTAAACATATCTAAACATAGAAAAAGTATAATAAAAATGTGGCATTATAATCTTATGGGACCATCATCACATATGCAGTCTGTTGACAAAAATGTTGTTATACGGTGCATGACTATAGTTGATTTGCTATATGGGTTTTAACCCAATTAATTGTGGGGGAATATTTACCAGAAATAATGATTTTGATTTTGGAATAATTAACCTTTGGGTTTTATTAGTCAAAGCAGCTAGCATTACCATAACTAAAGCAGAATTTTATCTTCAGAATCAGTTAAGGATCCTTTTAGGACAATAAAACTATGTCAACAGCACACAGAGGATGTTTATTTTTCTGTTTTCAACTCATCCAAGTGTGATGGCTGGGTCATTTGGTACAATTTTAAGAGAAGGGGAAGCCACAGCTCTCTGCTCTTCCAGTTCTAGCAATGCCATGTAGATCCTAGAGCATCTAGGGGCACTGCTAGGCATGATAACAAGTAGACATGCAAGTCTGTAAGAGAGGAAGTACTCTTGGATTGGTTTTCAATTTATTATTGCAATGATTTCAGAGGATGAACGTAATCAACGGACCAAATTGACCTTGAATGACTCTTAGGTGCAATGGGTTAAGGGCAGAGAGGGCTAGCTTTTCATCAAAATCCATGTTCCCCTTCCATGGATTGGAGTTAACTGTTGGGAGGTAGATTCCTGGCAAGAAATATATTCCTGAGGGCTCCTCATACCCAGATAGGGTCAAATGACTAGTCCTTATTAAGGAATGTGAGCAGAAGTGAATTGTGTTATTTGCAGGCTGAGGGTTTAAGAAACTGAGTGAGGCTTCTCTATACAGTAATCCCCCCTTAATCTGTAGTCTTGCTTTCTACGGTTTCAGTTACCTGTGGTCCACCGAGGTTCAAAAATATTCAGTGAAAAATTCCAGAAATAAACAACTCATAGGTTTTAACTTATGCATTGTTCTGATTAGTGTGATAAAATCTGGCACTGTCCCATCTGAGTGATGAATCATCCCTTTGTCCAGTGTATCCGCGCTGTCTCCACCACCTGCCCATTAGTCTCTTAGGAACCATCTTGGTTATCAGATCAACTGTTTCGTATCACAGTGCTTGTGTTCAAGTTACTCTTACCTTACTTCATAATGTCCCCAAAGCACAAGAGTAGTGATGCTGGCATATTCTTATAATTGCTCTATTTTTTTATTAGTTATTGTTGTTCATCTCTTGCTGGACCTAATTTATAAATTAAATTTTATAGGTTATGTATGTATGGGAAAAAACATAGTATATATAGAATTTGGTACTATCTATGAGTTTAGGCATCCACTGGGGTCTTGGAATGTATCCCTCAGGAGAAGGGAAGACCACTGTGCTCCTCTTTCCCCATCTGCAGCCTGAATGAAGGGTATTCTGTGATCCTAGGGGACGATGGAGCCACAAAATGGGAGAAGCCGGGGTCCCTGAATCACCACGTGGCAGGGAGCCACCCACTACCCACCCTGCGCTATCCACCCTCCACCTACGCTGGAGTGTTACATGAGTGAGAAATAAATTTTTATTGTGTTAAAACATTGAAGCTTTGGTTTTTATTTGTTAAAACAGCTATTATTACCATACTTAAGTAGGCTTTTATCTTCCAGAATCAGTTAGTATGTTTTTTGTCTTTTTAAAAATTTTTTCGCTTATAGCCCCTCAACAGAACAGTTAGTAGATTTTGAAATGACTGTTCTGGAGCAAGTAAAAGCAATTAGGTAGAGTGAATCAAGGCAGAACAATCCAATAAGGTACATTTTAAACTTATTTCCTAAAGACCACTCCTGGGAAAACTATGCTTTTGTGAGTAAATATTTGTGTGGATTGTCTAGAAAAGTCATTCTTTCTTTTCTCTCCCTAATTCATCAAGAGGGAGTCATCCCTCATGATGTCTATTGATTATGAGCTGTCTGGGCTTGCTGTTTCTTCTCTAAACATCCTTGTTTTGTTGGGCTTTGGGTAAATCCTATTTTTCTGTTATTTTTGGATAGAGTCCAAGATAATAAGGGGTAATTCTTGGGAATAGTTCTGGAATTTCCCAAGCCCTTTTACTTTACTGTAAAATAGACTGAAATGAAGAGATCTGGTTATCTCGCAATTTGGAAGATTAGGGCCTTGGGCTCTTCAACCCAGACAGAGCTTTAGATTTGGTTTCTGGACACCGGTGTAGAGAGTGGAGCACACAGAATACACTTCCCATGGTGCTGGCCAGTGGCCTAGACTTGGCAATGCTCAATTCCTGTCAGAGGCATGTTCTACACAGCAGAAGTTGAGAAGAGCCCACAATGTTACTGATTCCATAGTGGGAAATGGAAATAGCTCTTAACAGCTGTTTGGAGGGGCTTTCAAAAGAACAGGGATGGAGACCATGTAGACACAGAGGAATGGGGAAGCTACCCTTGGTGTGGGCAAAACTTTTTCCTTGGTTGCTCAAGTGTCTTACAAAAATGTGACCTTCTTCACTTTTTTTGTTTTCTTTTTGTAAATTTTTATGAAAGGGGGGGAGTGAGGAAAGAAGGTCAATTTCTTTTTTTTTTTTTTTTTGAGACAGAGTTTCACTCTGTCACCCTGGCTAGAGTGCAGTAGCATCAGCCTGGCTCACAACAACCTCAAACTCCTGGGCTCAAGTGATCCTCCTGCCTCAGCCTCCTAAGTAGCTGGGAGTATAGACACAGGTCACGATGCCTGGCTAATTTTTCTATTTTTAGTAGAGATGGAGTTACACACTCTCTCTCAGGCTGGTCTCAAACTCCTGAGCTGAAGTAATCCTCCCATCTCAGCCTCCCAGAGTGCTAGGATTACAGGCCTGGCCAATGTGACTTCTTGATCATCCAGTTTACTTGAATGTATTTCTTCACACAGCTTTCAGGAGAACACGCTTCTGGTTTCCCTTCCAACCCACTGATCTCCCTGTCTCAGGCTCCTTTGCCTCTTCCCAACTCCTAAAGGCTGGTGTGACTTTGGGTTAGATATGAACCTTCCTGCCTGGTCACTGCTCTTTTACCCTGCTTGATTTTCTTCATAGTACTTGTCACAACTGGAAATGATCTTATTTACTTGTTTACTGGTATGCCCCTTAAATCCTTCACTAGAATGTAGGCTCTGTGACATCAGAGATTCTGTCTTGCTTACTATGTAACTTCAAGGGACTAGAACAGTCTTTGGTCTATAATATATGCTCAATAAATAGTTATTGAATTAATAATTGGATGATTAATTGAATAAATGAATATGTGAATTCCAATGCTGATGAATAGCATTTCTACTTAAATCAAAGATTAAGAGAGAAAGGTCTTATCAAAGTAGGAGGGGAATGAGATTAGGGTTTGAGATCATTGTAGTCCTGTTTGCTGCAACTTTAAAAAAATGAGTGGGTTTTGTTTTTATCAGCCACAGAGGAATGGGGTAGATGATCTTCTAATGCAAGTTGGGTCCCTTCCAACTTGAGCACCATGTAAACCTGGGCACCTACCTCACGTCGGGCTCGGCAGTGGCAGCATGCAGTGGCAGACGGCCATTTTTATCTGGGATATTGTGCTTGGCACCATTTCTGAGTAGACTCACACAGCCTTCGAGCCAACCCTGAAATACAAGAGCAACCACATCATTATATAACACAAGCTCACATAACATAGTCCAATAAACTTTCTCTAGTTTTTTTCCCCTTCTTTGGTTTGGCTGAAAACATATTTTATTTGACTTGAAGTGGTTAAGGACCACAACTCCAACTCAGACACCTCAGCGGGGGCTGAAGGTCTCGAGGTAAATGAATTCCCAAGTTTACTGGAGGACCTTCACCCTGTCAGATGCAGACTGATCCCTGACCCTGACTCTCTCTCCTGCCTCCCCCTTACCATTTCTAGGGCCACTCACTGGTATTCCACTTTTATGCTCAGACTAGACCTGGTCCTAGGGCCAAAATTAACCATCTCTGGCCTCTCCTTCTGTGGGCTTAGCTCCAAATCATGCTTGTCAATGGTCTGACTTGGATGTCATGGTTCAGTTCTAAAAATTGGGCTCCTATGTGATATATGAATCTCAGCTTCCACTCTATGCCTTTGTCTACCTATGTCTGATAAACGGGCCTTGTTTCTCTATTCCAAATTCCTTTTCTAAAAACTACAAGATCAGCATCTTGCTTATTTTAGTCAGTCTCCCTCTCAATGCCTAGAGGCCTAATCTGAGCCCCACTCCAATGGCTAGGACCCTGCCACTTTGTTGATTGATTTTTCTGATGCTAACAGCCTGAATCCCTAAATATGGCCTATCACCAGTACCCTCCAAGATTCTCCATTGCTATGTTTTATCCACTTATTAATTCCTCAAGAAACTTTGTGTGAACTCCCTGCTGTCTACTAATTGTCCAGATTGAGACCTATTGCCACATCCCATGGTTGTCCCCTCCTTGGTCAACACCTACAGCTGGATTATTTTCCCATTGTCTCTCCCATTTCAAAGGTCAGGTATAATCTCAGGCTAGACCTCCCATACTATTTAAACTGCTGCAACCCTAATTATAACCAAGTTTGGTTTGCATGCTGAGGAGAATGTCTCCTACATTCATCCAGAAACACTTGGGTTACTCACCCAATTTTAAGTAGACTTATACATAGATGAAACCACTATTAGGAAGAATACTATGATAACTCTCTATTTTGTTCAGAAACAGGCTTCCTGCCTTCCTTCATTCATGTCTAAATCAGCCTCAAGATTACCCAGTAAGAGAGAAAGATGAGATTTTCCCTCCTAATATTGCAATATTGAAAGCAATAAAAACCAAAATGTTAATAAATGCATGGAGAAGAAGGAAGATAATGATAAGAAAAGAACTTTTTGTTTTTACAAAGTGGAAAGAAAATCTCTCAACAAAAGCACACCAAAATTCATAGGTTATAATATTGAATCTGGTTTTGTAGAATTGACCAATAATATCTAAGTCTTAAGCAAATATTTTTATGGCATTCCCAGTCTTGACTCATAGTTTACCAATGTATTAAATCTGTTTTTAGTTGTTAATGTCTAAGTCATCAAGTTCTCAGATTAAAAAGGAGAAAATATGACCAGGAGACCCAAAGAAAAGCATGCTGGGCAAGTTTTGGAGTTGCCAAAGATTTACAGTTTTTGAAAAGCAGATCTTTTGGTGCTTTGTGGGAGGAGGGGAAGGTTTGAAACATTTTTTAGAAATCGTTTTGCAACATTTTCTGGAATTCTGTGTATATATGTGGTTTTCTTTTTTTCTTCAGAAAAAAACATCAGAAAACCATTGACTATACCATCTGAAACACTTGGTCACTATTTAGAACCAACAAATGAGTTTTATACCTACTATGTGTGTGTTGGCTAATTCCGCATGTGTTTCTCCAACAGCTGTGATGAATTTAGGACATTATTTTTACTACATATTACAAATGAGGAAAGAGGCACAAAGAGGTGAAGCGATTTGCCTGGGTTCATGCATCTGTGATAAATTTATTTGTATACTGAGTTTGGAGCAGTGGCAAAACTTTATTTCTAAGTGCCCTTTTTGCCAAGTTTCTCATTAATACTTAAATTCAAACATTGCCAGGAGGGAATGGTGGGCTTCACAGTGCAATCCCAGGACACTCCCCCTTCCCATGAGCCTCAGCAGAGCCAGGGAGGGATCCCACTGTGGGGAACCATAGAAGTAGGGGCATAGTTGAGAAGGTGGTGCCACATGGCATCCTGCAGACACACTCCCCTCATGCAGTCCTTAGAATGCATTCCTGGAAAGAGGTGTTGGCAAAGGTGACACTTCTCTGGGCTGCAAAGATGCCTGTTATTATTCACTGCATTCTGGAGGAGTACTTCCCAGTCCCTTGCATAGCTGTCTAGCTAAAGAAATTTGAAATTTTGAATTTTAGCATTCTGAAAAAGGCACAGTTTGTTCTCACTATCTATATGATTGTGGTAGACAACTTTAGAAACCTCTTCTATCCCCTTCCTCCACCCCTTGATCCTAATTTTCTCTTTTCCTCAGCTCAGATACAAAAAAAGGCTGCAGCAAGAGCAGTCATTAGGGCATGTGCTAGCAGGGAGGGGAGCTGGGAGGACAGCCATATGTCTCTCTGAGATGGGACTTCAGCTTGTATGCACAGACCAGTGGTTTTCAAACTCAGTGGGCATAAAAACTGCCAACAAGGTTTGTTTAACATGCAGAACGCACCCCGCCCCAACACTCACTACCCAAGTCCTGCCCCCAGAGTATTTGATTCAGGAGGTACCCCATGAACCTGCATTTGAAGCAAGCACCCCAGGGGACATGGACACAAGAGATCTGGGGATCATACTTTGAAAAACTCTTCCCAGATGTGTGAGTCCCAGAGAAAGAGAGCATGCAAACAGAAGTGAAAAAGTAGGTTCTAAAGAAAATCTCTGTGAGAACTGGACAATGCTTCATTGCAATCTATGCTAGATCATGGCAGGAAGGGGTGGTGTTTGGGGAAGGGAAGTGTTTTACTTCAGCAGGGCACCCTCAGTGGGGCTGGTCCATGGTGAATCTACCTCTGGCCACAGGCAGCAGCAGCAAATGTGAGAAGCTGCATTGGCAGCATCAGTGATCATGATGAAAATTTCTGGGTGTCTCATTGGAAAAGAAGGAGAGTGATGACCTCCATGTGGTGGGCTATGACTTGTTCGACACTGACCCAAGGCCGCCCTAAGGCCTTCCAGAAGGATCTCAGGGAGGATTTGAGAAGAGAGGAGCTTGAGGATTTTCAACAAGGTTTAACCAAGCTTGCTCTAATACTGAGAAATGCCAAAATGAAATCTCCAGTGGTGAGGACTGGCATTACTACACAGTTTTTAAACTGAACAGCAATTGTGGGCTGAGTTCTGTGCTTGGTGTTGCCCCTTAGAATCGTGGTATGTCTCCCCCACTCCCTAACCCCCACCCACTTTTCCCAGCTCCCATCCGTCCCCACATTCCTCAGCCCCAAGCTTCTGCTCAACCAATCCAACCCCACAAATGTTAACTGGATCTGTAAAGTGTTCCCACCCTCTCCAGGTCACTTATGGAGGGTATTCTTACAAGTGTGTCCAGAAATGTCCCAAGGGAAATCCTGATGCTTTTAAGATAGAAAAGAATGTCTCTCTCATGATGATATCACCTGTATCTTAGAGGATTCTTAGGAAGATCCAAAATGACTCAAATCCATGAAACCAACTCTAAGTGGTGATAGAAATGTTGAAGATGATTGGAGTAAAGCTTTAAGTTCTATTTCCACTGGCCAGCTGCATAAATCTAAGAACACTCTTCTGCAAGTGGGACCCCATAATGACACTGTTAGCACCCCCTGCTCCTTAGCCCCCGTGACAGACGTGAGTCAGTACCAGGTAGGTGGCCAGGCATAAACTCGTGCGGCCGTAAGCGTCCTGCATGTTGATATTGGCTCCCATCTTCAGCAGCAGCTTCACTGTGTCCACTTGCCGTCCAGAAACCGCATGCATCAAGGGCGTACATCCTGGAACGAGACATTTCCACAGCCTGTAAAAACGTTTGACTCATGAAATTGATGAGCAGACTATTTGCCTGTTTATTTATTTTGCTCTTTGCAAAAGAAACCCAGCTGTTGAACTGTATGGGACTGAAGGGAGATGAAGACGATTGTTGCTACATTTATATAAACTATATGTTTTTCTAGCCTTTTCCCCCAATCTTTTATAATTTTGCAATAATTGGCTGATTAAAACATTTGGGGCAGATGATAAAAATTGCTTATGACTGCCTCAGGGATCAGCATACTTTGGGACATAAGGAGCAGGTTTATCCTGACTTGGCTTGAATAGGGCAGAATCTGGAGTGCCTTTGGACAGCAGCCCCACCCAGGCAGACGGGTTGAGGACAGTTTGATTGGAGGTGGTGGGTACTAAAGGGCAGCGATGGTGGCCCAGTCTTGGGTTGCATGAATTCTTGCTCAAAGGGGCCACCTCTCCTGCAATGCTTCTCTGTTTTTTGAATCAGTATAGGCCAAGGCATTTGGTTTTTTAAGTGTTTTCTTCCTGAATAAAAACAGAAATGAAATTGCACATTCTGATTAACTTTGCAGGGCTGTTGGGACAAGCCAGCCTTGTGACCCAGAGTCCAGGTGCTTCACTTTCTTTCCGGCAAAGAAACCAAACCTCAGACACAATCCTTTGTCCAGCTGAGACTTGTTTAGATGTCTTTTGATTGGAGATTCATGTGGAGATTGCGGTTCTTCTGCAGATGAACTGTAAGCTATGACCCTCAGATATCCCTGAAATGGTAAACCCCGGGACTGCTGTTCTCACTGAAAGATTGCTACCAGCATCCCAATTTCTTTCCAAATCTCTCTCCTTCTAATACTCTTTCAGGCATCTGTACTGGGTAAAAGCATCCATGAAGTGCTATGTCTTAAAATAGTGGCAAAATTTCCTTCCTCCGTCCTCCCTTTCTTCCTTCCTTCCTTTTCTCCCTTCCTCTCTTCCTATCTTCCTTCCTTCCTCACTCTTCCTCCCTCCCTTCCTTCCTTCCTCCCTCGCTTTCTCTTTCCTTCTTTTCTTCCTTCCTTCTTTCCTTTCTTCCTTCATAACTATTGGGAGAAAAAACCATGCTGAAATAGGCAATTATTGAAGCAATCTGTTAATCTGAAATGTTCATTAAATAAAGCTAAAGAATTTCTAGATAATACTTTCATAAAATTACATGTTCTTTCTGGCTAATTTATATCTATCTTGAGATCCTAGCTTATATGTAAAACACCTCCCCGACTTTCCATTGTATTGCATACCTCCAAGGTATTCCTTGGCTTGTGGCAGCTCCAATAATGCCAATAACTCTACTCTGCCTCAATCTTCACATGGCCAGCTTCCTGTGTGTCTCTGTTTCTGTGTCCAAATTCTTGTTTTTTTTTCTCTTTTGTTTTTTGAGACAGGGTCTTATTCTGTCACCCAGGCTGGAGTGCAGTGGCACCATCATAGCTCACCGCACCCCTGAACTCCTGGCCTCAAGCGATCCTCCTGCTTCAGCCTCCCAAATGCTGGGATTACAGCCATGAGCCACTATGCCTGGTCTATTTCTAATTTTCTGAGATGTTTTATTATTAATGTGTGTTAAATTTTGTCAAATGCTTTTTTTGTATCAATTAATATGAACATGTGAGTTTTCTTCTTTAGCT